GGCCCATAGCCAACCATTCTGCAGTGGTGAGCCTTCACAACCAGGCCTGGGGCAGGGAGCCTGAGGCCAGGCCCACAAAGGTGTCCCCTGCCCCTGCCATGGAAGTCCAGGTGCTCTCCAGAGACCCAGCACACACCTTGGCATCTGGAGCAACTGAAAGGTTAGGACACCACCGAGACCCTTGTTCTTTACTGCTTCCAGCAGCATACCGGTTAGGGTCTTGCAGGGCCAGGCCCTGGCTGACCTAGGAGCCCTGGGGGGCTGTCAGGTAAGTTTGCACGGCAGTCCTCAAAGTCAGTGGTCCCAGCCCACTAACTGCTCCTTGGGAGAAAGACGAGGTGGTCTGCGTGAAGATCTGTGGCCCCAGAGGGCCCTTTGAGGGTGGCTGTGAGCAGTCAGAGAGGAGCCCTGGTGGTCTGGGGGTTATGTGCTGGACTGCTAATCACAAGGTCAGCAGTTGAAAGCTCTTTAGGAGAAAGGGCTTTTTTCTCCGTCATGAGTTACAGTCTCAGAAACTCGCAGGGACAGTGCTACCACATTCGAGAGAGTGGCTCTGAGTCCGCATCAGCTCTACAGCAATGAGTCTTTGAGAAGAGTGAGTTTGAGTGAGTGAGTTGGAATCAACCCAATGGCAGTGGACTTGGTGTCTGAGACAGCAGCGCCGGAGAGGCTGAGGACAGACAGCCCGTGCCCCTGGTAGGAGCAGGGCAACTATAGCCTGCCTCGTCTGGTACCCAGAGAGGATGGCGCCTCTGCAGGCTCTCGGCTGCATCTGGTCGCCGTGGTCCCTGGGAGCATGACAGCCCGAGCTGGAAGGGAATCGTGTGATGTTAGCTGTTGGAATACATGGGTGGGGTACACGCCAGCGCCCCTCGGATCCTGCTGCCTGTGGGACGGCTGAGCGGAGAGTTCCTGTTCTAATCGACTCCTTCCTTTTCCCTTGCTTGTAGAACTTCAGTAACACCAAAAATTATCTGCCTCCAGAAATGAAATCGTTTTTCACCCCCGGAAAAGTACGTCTTGACCAGCGCCTTGCCTTTGCTGTGTGGGTCTGTTGGGCGCTGTGCTCACGGCATGGTGATGCGTGTTGTTGGGGTTCCCTTAAACGTGTGTGTCTTCTGGGAGGGGGGAAACGACTCCCTGTGTATTTTGTTGACTTGTTTAAAGTTTTTATTATTTTGTTAGCTGTATGAGCAGATAGACACACACTTTTTTTAATGTGTGTTTTATTGTGCATTAGGTGGGGGCTTACATTTCAGATAGTTCTTTATTCAACAATTTATCTAACCTCCCAAGAGCTTGCCCTGCCCCTCCCTCTCCTCTTTCTCTCCCTCCATTGTTAGGATATCTTCCCTTGTTCCCAAACTAACACCTGTCTACCCTCTAACCTGCTGCTCCCCATCCCCGGTAACAACAAAGGCTGCTGCTTTTGCTGTGCAAACCTTGATCTTGAGTCTTGTGTCTGTGGCTCAGACAGTACGGTCCCTCCCTCTGTGATTGGCTAACTCCACTCAGTGCCACGTCCTCTGGTGCCTCCCTGTCACGAGGTTTCAGACTGACTAGCTAGTGGGTCAGTGCAGGACCCCTGGGTTCTCAGACTTTCGGACCCTGAGCAGCAAGAGGGGGCCTTCTCCCACCTTCGCGGTGAGGCTGTGTTCAGCACGGCCCCAAGTCAGCGTCTTTTCGGAGTGCACCAGGGTTCTGGACACGTTGCCACCGTTGCTTCTGGTCTGTGTGTGACCCTCAGTCTGTCCTCTGGGCTGTGCTTCGAGGACAGGCAGAGTGTCCATGGCCCAAGTGACCCCGCTGTGATGCGTCCAAGTCCCTGTGCTGTCACTGAGGGAGACACGCCCTTCTCGTTACAGCCGAAAACCACCAACGTCCTGGGCGCCGTCAACAAGCCACTGTCGTCGGCCGGCAAGCAGTCACAGAC